TCAGGCTGCAACAGTTAAATCTGAAGCACTTCATATGCTTGCAGTCAACCATGTCAACATCTGGAGTTGGTTGACTTCTTCCCCAAGGATTTGCAGCACTGCCCTGGATTTTTTCCATAAATTCCCTACATTCTAAATCCATCAGATATATGTCATACACACCCAGCTCCCCATGTTCCAAACTCTATTAGCCACTGGAAAACTCTCAACAGGAGGGGTTTTGTGTGTGTGTTAATTCAGCATTTAAGTACTAAAGACTAAATTCTACTCCTAGTCTTGTCTGTCTGTATGTATACACATGTGCTTTTAGTTTCATATGATAAATTAGGGAATCTCATGTATCTATCTATATGAAACCAGTGCCATAGGAAGGAGGTGAGCAGGGCGACCGCCCCAGGCACCAAAGCTAAGAGGCGCCAATAGGCACTGCCCAGCCAGGGTGGGGCCATGAGCAGCTATTTGCGGGGGCACGGCTCCTGCTGTTGTGTGCGCTCCCGGGTAAGCATGGGGAGGCGTGTGCCGTGGGGCAAGGATGGGCTGCCATTGCGGGCGCCAAACTTCCCTGCCACGGCACTGTATGATACTAAGAGCACATATACACACACGCACACATACACATATATAAGTGTGTATAAAATATATAGTGCATAAGAGTAACTTAAGGCAAGATAAAACCCTAAAGTGTCTGATTAAGCAAACAGCAAAAACAAGGCTATTTCAAGTTGTTTGACTCCACTGTGGCTAAAACTGCAACAAGCTGGCATATAAAAGTTACCTACTGTCTGACTCTCACACAGCCAGATACAACAGGGAAATTTAAGAATGAATCTGGACTAAGATTTCCAGACTGTGCTGGTGCTGCTCATGGGTCTCAAGCTGGACCCATGCATGCATGAAGGACCAGTCCCATGCACTGCATGGGGTGGGGGCATAGGATTTGTCTGGTATATGTTGTGGGCAGCACAAAGGGCTGGTCCAGGGCACATGCTGCCAGCTGCACTCAGGGCTGGTCCAGGGTGCATATGGCCCACAGTTCTATGCTGAACCTGTGCCACATGCTGGATCCAGAATGAGGAGCTGGTCTGTGGGCCTCCTCCAGCGTGAAGACCAACCCAGCACCACTCATCTTGCCCTTGCTATATCTTGTCAGAAACACAGTTTTAATAACCTCAGAAAATCATCTCTCCCCCAAGATGTATTTTTAACAGGGTAGCTGTTTTGGGCTATTAGTCTATTAGAATTTTTATAAAAACCAAAAGCTTTAACTTGTGGTTCAGTTGTGGAAATCTGAACTGGATGGTTGTGGCACAACCTCAGAGGATTTTTAACCTCACAGTTGAAAAGACTGATTTGAATAATAAATCATATGATCAGTCAATTAGCTTTAGTTATAAGGAAAATAAATCAAAAGAAACATTTTTACGCACGACTTCTCAAGAGCTATGTTATTTTTTAAACCACAGTTTAATATACTGCTGTCTGGAGCCCTAGTACTGACCCTTGACAAGATATTTTGCAAGTTTCTCCTGTCTGCCTCCCCAAAATGACTGTATCTACATCTTCACCTCAATTTACAAAAACTCCCTTTTAGGAATTGCACTGCTTCCTTTGTTATTCAATCCATTCACTTATTTTAAAACAAAGATTTATTGTGCCTAATTATAGGGAGGGGTTTCTTTGGGGATGCATTAGATGCTGCTAATGAAGATTTATGGAAGAGATTTACACAGTAGATTTCACAATGTACACTTGTAACACTTAACCTTTCTAATCATGCACTTATTTCAGAGGTTTAAATACAAATACACAATTGGCTCAGTTTTGAATGCTACAAATATTTAAAGTCTGACAGTCAAGTGAATGTTGCTATACCACGCTCTGATTGAAAAAAAATTTTAAAAAATTACAAGTTAGCTCATTTTTCAAGTATTTTCATTCTTTGTGTAAAAAGCAAAAGTGTGGCCTCAGCAGAAGTAGCCTAAAATATATATTATTTTTTATTAAACTAACTTAAAAGCACACACAAGCACTCTTAGTGTTATAGTATTGCCTTTTATTATAAACACCTTATTTTCAGAGGTTTACGATTTAGCTGTAAAAGTTTGCTCTAGACTAAAGTCTAGCATATGAAATTCTTCCCTGGGAAGTAATGTATTTTATCAATTACACACACACACACACACACACACACACACACACACCCCCAGCTTGCCAGCTTGACTGGTCATATAGCCTGCTCATATCGACTGGTCATATAGCCTACCCATATATATATATGGGTAGGCTATATGACTAGTCAAGTTGGCAAGCTGGTCTATGTGTGTGTGTGTGTGTGTACATATATATATATACATATTTACAGACACATGCAAAAATATGCATTTTTATTTAAATATTTGTAAAATAACATGTATTTGAAGTTCATGATGTTTTTTATAAACGTATGTACATTGACAATGTGGTGACCACGTGTAGTCGTAATTAAAAGAATCTGTCATAATCACGAATAGTACTCAAGCCAACCCAGCTTTTGCATGTGAATCACATGTGAATCAAATCAACATGCTATGAAGGCTTATGAAATTTGTTGAGTTTTAGGACTGGCTATTCTTCATGGTCAGTGTGTTTCTTTTAAAGCATATTCTCCAAATGGAACAGGTAGCTCTTAATCTACTATTCTGATATCTGGAAAAAATGCCTGCTGAATTAAGGACAAAGAGGAGTTCCAACTATGTGGTATGGTAATTACTTACCATAAATGTAGTAAGTGAAGGTGTTTTCAGAAAGTAAGTAAATAATATTTGACAATGTACTGACTATGATAACCAAATTAAAAATTATCCTTGCCAGGATGTTTGCAAAAAGAATAAATATAAACATCAACTTCACAAGAGATTTACACAAAACAATGCTAATTTACAATAGTATTCACAGCATAGAAATCCACATTGATATGGTAACTAGGACTATGGCCAAGTTCAAATTCTTGTAAAACATAGTTCAAACTCAGTTATATTACATCAGAAACCTCAGCTAGTTTGCTAACCATTATTTTTTCGTTCTTCCGTCATTCTTCTTGTGCTATAAAAAGGTTCCTTCAAAGAAATAAACCTTTAACTATTACCAATAGAAGAAAGAAAAAAAGCCCTTGAAAAAAAAAAGGAGACACTCAGCATGTGATAAGCTTATTAAGCATGTAGCTTAATGAAAACCCCATTTCTAACAATAGCACCAAGTAAGCCTTTGGCAACTGTTAAAACCACATACTATCCACTATAGGAGAGACTCTTTACAGAGCTGTACTTCTGTAGGTTTTACCATCACTATAAATAAAAGTAGCATTGAATTGTTTTGCCAAAGAAGAAGACAGCGAAATAAAAACATGTAGCTGAAGAGATTAGTAAAGAAGTGCTTAGTCAACCCAGAGGAAATTCCATAGAGGTGCAGCAAGCAAATTAATTGGCAGGAAGTAACAAGATTTTGTTTTGCTCATACCCCGCTAAACTTCTCACAACCACTTTAATTTTCACAGAAAGATGTGACTAATGGCGCAAACCACTCCGTGAAGAAGTACTGTGACTAAAAAGTCCCCTTGGTTTAAAATAGCATTATTTTCTATGAAAATCTACCAGTCTACAGCAGCATTTTCCACAGTTTAGATTCACCTATAAATTCTCACAAATTGTTTTGAAGTGAATGGATGCAACATCAACTCCAGTCCACCTACCAAAGTCTGGGGATCTGATCCACAGAATTTTCCTGTAGAATGTTAATATATATGTAATTTTTAAAAAACTATATAAATTTAAACAGTTCTGGAGTAATTGCTTCTTCTCTTACACACTATTAAGACAATTCAAAATGGCAACAGTTAGTGGTGTAGTTCTTATTACAAAAATTGGATAATATATTTTTAATTAAAAAAAGAGAAGCGGAGTAGTGATCATCCAGATGGTAAGATCTAACCTACAACATTTTAGGAATTTTACTTTTTAGAAGTCTTTATTCTGTACCTAACTGCATGACTGAGAGATATATGCTAAACTGAATGAAAATGCAAAGTCTAAATGTCCATCTTCTGGGTAACAAAATGCCTGACAGAATGTATCAAATCAAAAGATCTCTTTCAAAACACCGCAGTCTAGCTAGTGTATGGGAAACACCTAATACAACATTCATGAACAATCTCAGTGTAAAAGAGACATTACAAACTGTTTTGTAAGAAACACTGAAGGAGTGGATGAAGTAATTAGCTAAACATAAATGGAAAACCCCTGAAACTAAAGGTGAAATGTATTGAGAAATTAATGTAGCTTTGTCTAGTAAGATTACTTTTGAATACCAATGTTGTACTGCCATTTCAAATTAGCTACTATTAACTGCTTGATGCACTAATGTTTTGTAATTCTGTGTAAATTATATCCCCTCCCTTATACCTATTTCAATTCCAGTTAACTAAGTTTAGTTGAAAGGAAAATTATTACATTACCTCTTGGTTCTTTTGCTGTATAGATGAACCAAGTCGGTCATTACTTGTTTTATTTTTGCATTTACTTGTTCCCAACATTCTGATATTCTGGCTACAATAAAATACCATTATCTTCCTTGAAACCTATAACCCTCAACTTGTAGCACTACAAATCCTGTACCAAGTTTCGGACTGAAAGTGACAAGAAATCTTTAATACATAGTTTGGCTTCACCAAGCACTTTTTAGGGGAGTTTTTTTTTTTAATGTACAGTACTCCTATAAAATTTTTAAGTAGAACAATGTTTGAAAATTTTAAACTTGTTTTAAGTTTTAAGTAGAACAATGCTTGAAAATTAAAGCCCTCCTATTCACACAATACAGTCTGCCACACCCTATCGTACTAGCCATCTCTGTTTAAGTCATGAAAGTTCTGCTGCATAAAATCCTGAGTGCCACAAATAAAGGTGTCAATACAGACAAAATGAATTTGAGCAATTTTAGCGTATTTTAGCAATACCACATTTTCCTACCTGTGATAGTTATGGTCCCCAGCATTTTAAAATTATTCTGATGACAAAAAAACTCCGTTCTTTTGATGCTCCCTTATTTCTGTATTGGGAAATCTCAGTGTAATCAAGAGTGGACAGCAGAACAGCCTCTGGTGCTAACCAAGCCACAATGAATCTTTCTCTGTCTGATGAGAAAACCAGACTGAAGTTGTGTTTCAGCAATCCCTCTGACTTGGCAGATAGTCCTTTGTGGCCATTCCCTTCTCAGCTGTTCGCCTTAGAGTAACAGGGGTGGGCAGATCATGTGGTTCATTTTATGGGAGAGAACCCCTCCCCTTGCCCACTCCAGCCCCTATTGTTGGCTAACAGACCTCATGCAGAGACCTTGAAATTGTTTAACTAAAGACTGCTGAAATGCAACTTAACTATTGCAGGCCCATTATTCTCCTGTTTGAAATGACATCATCTATACTCTAAATTGCCCCCTTTAAATGTTTATTACAGAGAACATTTAAGAGAGGGGAGGAAAGAGGGGGGAGGGAATTCTAGTATAGGCATATCCAATTTCTCAGCAGAAAACAGGTATTTAAAACATTTTGAACTGGTTTTCTAACTACACAAAAAAGGATTTTTAAAAAGCTATGTATTAAATTAAATCTGTCAGAGTTTTATAAACACTAGTAATGCAAACTTTTGTTGTCCTTTTATTTAGATTGTTCTCTGGCCTGTTGGAAACTAGGGAGAATACTTTTTACTTGGAGTTCTCTTCAAGAAATGACCTATAGAAGTTACTGTCAAGTGGACCCGGAACCTCCCAAATCTGAATTTTCTAGGATCTATATGGGTCTTGGAAATACATGAGAAATGAGGCCCATCCCTGTTAGGAGTCCACAATACCCTTCCCATGCACTTTCCCCTCCTGCCCCCAGCCACAGGTATGACCCTGGCATCTTCACTTGCCAGAACATTTTGAGGGACCCTCAGCTGGCCATGTCAACTTCTGAGGATACTCAGAATGGCCTGGAACCATATCTCACAACTAAAGGCCCAAATGTGGAACTCAAGGCATGCAAAAGATCCAAAACACAAAGGAGTGCTGGTTGTCAGTAATAGATAGTCAAGGAGGAACCTTAAATTGCTGGTAGGATTTATTACTTCCTGCAATCCTAGCTGAATGATTCTTTATTTGTAATTCTAAATGATTTCCAACATGAAAGACACTGGGAACACCACATCTGCATGGAATGTAGACAGATTTAGGGCTAAAATGAGTTATATTTCTTGAAATGAACATTTTAGAGGTATGCCAGGGCCTACCTTCATCCCCTTTTTTCTACATTTGCCCCAGGCCATATAGAAAAAATCCTCTGCATGGTCCAGAGGGGTAGGCATGAATGATGACAACAAGCATTTCAATTAAGCTTTTTACTTAAGAAGCTATCCCTTCAATAGTTGGCCATATGGCTGGTATTTAAGATAGTGCCATTCACAGCAACAATTTTCAGGAAATAAAAATCACGCCCATTTAAAAGCAATTCTCTGGAAAACATTAAATTATGCTTATTCTTTCCACAGATTGCGATTTTTTCCTCTCTATGATTCTCAAGATATTAGTATTCATTTAAAAGTTTGTCTAAAGAGACATAATTCTTACCATGTAGGGAGGATGGTTCTGAAATGTGGAGCCAACATTCAATATTAATCTATATGAAATGGACAACTACTATATTTGGAGCAAAATATGGATCAATACTTCCTTGTTTATTAAGGATCCAAGTAATTCTCAGGAACTTTGTATTCTTTGCAATCTGACTGATTATCAAAGGAATGCAAAGGTATTTACTGAATTTGCTGATAGTCATTGCTAGGGAGTAGGAAGAGGCAGATTAAGGATGACAGAATACAGAAAGCCTAGACCACATGCTCCTATACTAGAAATTATACAGAAGCATAAGTTAGCATTTACTTTTAAAAAGTTTAATTTGTTGCTAGGCTGTCAGGCCACAAAAAAGAGCAAAACAACTTAACAGATCTAATGTTAAGTTTCTCCATTACTCAGTTAAGAGATAGTCTAACTTTGATCTAGTCTCCCCAAAGCAATCAGGGCAGGCTGCAGAGTTTTCCAATTAGTTTCTGTGTCTGGTTCACAATGATAAGGGCTCTATCAATCAAGATTAAAAAACCCATAGGATCGAGGATAAAACTCAAAGATCAACATACAATACAGATGACTCCCTATCATGTTAATTGAATAGATTTGTGGTAAATCATTGCCTTTGGAAGATGCCAAAAGCATAAATACAAAGAGGTACACAGAATCTTTCGTGTGTGCCATCTGTAAAAACCTTTTTAATATGTAAAAAATAAAGTACAACAGATGAAAAAAATGTTACTTAAAATTTGTCTTCAAACAAACCATCAAGGAAGTATTACATACTTTTTATTTGTGGCTCTGTTGTTTCAGCAGAAATAAATTAAAACAGTCATTTTAGATTAAGGCCTGGTTTTCACACAGTTTTTACACTGGTTGATTAGAGGTGGGTCTGGTACTATGTTACTGATACAATTACTCTAGTATTGTGTATACCAACACAAAAATGAGCATAATTTTACTAGTATAACTCATCCAAATTAGGGTACCATAATGCTTATCTGTAACATTTTTTAATAATTTAAATTGTACACATTTTTGTATGTAGACAAAGGCTCCTTAAGTTAAAAAAATCTAAAAAATTGACTTAAGGCAGCTAATAAAACTGTTTATGCAGACTTGCACCAAAATAATGAAAGTTTTGAATTAAAATCAACAAGGATTTGCCTACATGATGTATTGCTTTCAGTGATTTAAGCTGTCTCAAGTGGGTGTGTGCATCTAGACAAGGGCTTAATGGGTATGCTTCAGTCCTTTTTCCATAGTGAATTTATGCCACATTGCTCTGACTTTCAGTTCTGGTCTTTTCCCGCTATGGTAACATGCTTATGAAATTTTTACTCTGCTAAAAAAAATCTCAGCACTGAAAGAAAGTGATACCTGCATGTATGGATGAAGGCCCAAATCCTCTTTTACATCTGAGAAACTGAAGTGACTCTTAGACTGCTTAATCAATAAATGTAATACTATTCTATCTCATGCAATGGCAAAAAATGTGGAGGGTCTTAGATTCTCTCTCTCTCAGAAGCCTCCCTCAAGACTAATAGTTTAGATATCCCCTTAACAACCAAACTTGGGTGCATGCTCAGAAGTGATCCAATATGTCTATCTGGCACTCAACTCCACTAATGCACCATTCCAATCATCTTCTGTCTGGGAAAGTGTATACAATTGTCCCAAAGCTCCCAAATCTGAGTGGGAAAAGACCATACACCAACTGTTTGACACTGAGATTTGGGGGTAGCATGAGGACAGTGATGCACACTTTTTGCCTCAGAAAGTGGGAGACCTGAGTTACAAATGCAACTCACCCTGAGAGGGTTGGAACTGCTCTCTCTCACTTTGCAGTACACTGCCTTAATCAGAAGACCAGGGCATCATCAGCATGGAGGAGAGCACATCCTCCATTCCTCCTATTCAAATAGGGCCACTAGGCAGTAATGTAAAGGTAAGAGAGGCAGACAGGAGAGGGAGCTTTTGTGCACTTGACCTTGGAAGAAGGGAGCCTTGAGTTCTAGTCACTTCTTTCTCCTGTGCTACGTATCCATTTTATGCAATGACTATGTAATGCAAAATGAACAAACAGATCAGAGAAAAGGCAAGAGGGAATGTGATTCTGTAGCCTACTAGTTAGGATACTTCACTAAAAAGGTTTCCAAGTCTCTGGCCCCAGAATTGTTTTTACAGTTTACATTAGTAGTCATTGGATAAAATGGATAATAAGCACTGTGAGGAAGGGCCAGAACCCAGGACTCTCTCCAGCCTGGAAACAGAGCTTGAGCCCCAGAAAGGGTTGAGATTTCACTAGCTGATAGGAAAACAGGGTTAGCAGAAGAGCAGGGATGGCCCCATATCTACTTCTGTTAGCCCTGCATACCAGAGGAGACATTACACAGACACTGTGACTCTGAGAGATCTGCAAAGGTTTTTCATTTTCATTCCTTTGTTCTCCCCTGCATGCCTTTACACAGGAAGGCAGTATACAGGCCTCAGCTTTCAAGAGAAAATCAGCATGCTGCTAGCCTTCCTTACCCCATTCAGCTCTGCAGTCTACAAGCTCTTCTAAAAGACCATTAGAGAGGATGGTTGGCTCTCTGCCAAATTATGCTTGTAGGAAACTTAAAGTATGGTTTTAGATTTATATGATAAATTGTACTGATTATCCTTGACCAAAAGAACGTAACTTCTACTCAAATTTTATCACTTCCACATATGATAATAAACAGCATGAGAACAAAAACTGCTGGAAAAAAACAGACAGGCTACAGGACCAGATTATTAAATACTTTGCATCATTTTTTTTCCTTTGCTTTTAAGAAAAAAGAACAAATGATGTTACTATTTCTAAGAATGCAGGATATGCAATGCAAAGGAAGCCTTCTCTAAAGGGTGGTTGTAGTCCACAGCTGTGTCTACTATAAGATAATGTACACTGGGATTGCTTGTAGGTTGTTTCCATATACCAAAACCTGATGTTTAACTTGCTTCCTATGAAATATTTAGAGTAATCTTTCTCCCAGTCTGGCAGAGGTGCCAAAGAAAACAGATAATGAAACAAAGTACTAATGTTAAACAATTGTCACTGTGCTTCATGATTTTTTTTAATGTGGCATTAATTGTGAATCTGTCATGGCTGAATCTGTGTGTAATACTGCAAGATCAGGCTAAAACTTTGCTTAAAAGTTAAACCTTTTGGTTTTTCTAATGGTGATACTAGTCTTCCCAGCTCAACCAGCATTTGGGGCCCTCTTTACTCAGAAGTAGAACATGCTGAAATTTGGGGTCCATTTTATGCTGATCTATCATTCTGTAATTCCCACCATCATTCGTTTTTAGAATTGTCACTTAACCCCATTCACAAGCTACACAAAAAAAGGATTTTAGCAGAAGCCCTGCAACTATAACAGTTAACAGTTTTTAAGCACTGTCTGCAAATATCTTTCAATGAAAAAACCTTCAATGATCACTTTAGGAAAACGGGAGAAATAGAGGGAAAGGAGGGCATTATCATAGGCAGACCATTGAAAATTTTAGCACATTATTAACTGTGACAAACAGAACTAAATATCATAAGTTTAAATGTAACACCAGAGGATTTTTAGAAA